GGACTGGTCCCTCCTTGCACCATATCCAAAATATGTCAGATGAAGCTTCAGAATCATACAAACTAAAAAAAGAACTATTGCCTTTGAGTCAGAATTGACTCATAGCTAACCCTGCAGCAGGTTTTCAGAGCTTGTAAATTGTACTGGAGATAATTCATCTTTGTTCCTTGCAGTGACTGATTTGAACCACCTGCCTTTGAATTGGCAGCACAACACCCTATTCAGTAGGTCACTCTGTAGTTATGTGTTTTTGTTAATAGGTGCAGTCAGGTTGATTGATTCATAATAACCTTGTGAACAGCAGATCTGAAACATACCTGGCCCTGTACTATCATCATACTCAATACCATTGTGATAGTCACTTTTGCCAGACCATCTTATAGAGGGTCTTTCTTTCTTTCTCTGATCTGTCACATTTTCCAGCATGTCTTTTTTTCCAGTGATGTGTTCCTTTTGGCACATGTGCAAAATATGAGAAATGAAGTTTCATCATCCTTACTTCTATAGAGCACCCTGGTTACACTTCGTCCAAGACAGTCTTTTTTATTTTTTTTTTCCAATCTATGCAGTATTCAGTACCCTTTTCGAACACAATTCAAGGGCATCAATTCTTCTGTCATTCTTATTCATTGTCCAACTTTCAAATGCATATGACCTAATAGTTATAAAGAGCATCTATGCCAATTTAAAGACCAAGGTACACTTGATCCAAGGCATGACTTTTTTTCTGTTGTTTTGTAGAATAAGAATGACAGAAGAAGAATCAATAACTTTGAATTGTGGTATTGGTGAAGATTACTAAGGAATCCATGAACTTCCAAAAAATCAAACCTCTGTTTTGAAGGAAGTGCAACCAAAGTGTTGCTTAGAAACAAAGAACATAGATGCCTTGGGCATATATTCAGGAGGAACCAGTCTTTGGAGAGAGGGACATCATACTGGGGAAGTTAAAGGTCAGCAGAGGGAGGAATACCTGTAACAAGATAAATTGACACAGTGACTACCACAGTGGAACTGAGCATGATGGAGATCATGAGGATGATACAGGATAGGGCATGGTTCAGGTGTGTTGTTCACAGGGTCACTCTGAGTTGACTCAGTGGCATCTAATAAGAAGGAAAGGTTTACTCACAGTCATTCTTGGATGGTTACCAGGGATGGAAAAAGGAAGGAGAAACCAGTAAAAATAAATAGGTTGGGCAAGGGGGGAAAATGTTATAAAATTGAATTATGATAATACTTGCAGAACTCTGTAAATTTTTAAATTTTATGATGTATAAATTTTATCTCGGTAAAGCTATTAACAAAAAGAAAGCTTTCATTGTGAAAAAGATCCTTTATGTTATACCTTTTGTATATCTAAACATCATTTGTCACTTATTCAAATTTATTCCCAAACATGTTACATGCCTTTCTGTTCTGCAGACATATTTTTCCCATTTGTGTTTCTTGAAGCTTTGTTTACTCACTTGCATATCCTTCTATAAGAATGCTTACTTAAGCATATACACATGCATGTGTATGCATGTATCAACATAGTGGTTCTTCAGCCTGGAAAATACAGGTAGAGGGTTCTCTCTGTAGATCAATTTCAAGACTCTTTAGAATGCCCTAAAATTTTTTGAAAAATTCATGTCCCTGTGTATGTTTTGGACTTAAAAAAAAATAAAACAATGTGTATGTTTTGGGAAAGTTTTACAAGGGAGACTTATACTAAGAATGTGCATTAGAAACACCCATAGAACTTTTGAAAAATACAGTTTATTTGGGTTCTTCTCCAGACTCTTATTTATTCTTGCTAAAGTTAGGGCTCAGATGTAGTTTTAGAAATCTCCCTGATTCTTTAAAACAGGTCTCTATTTATCATCTAATTTAATTCTAAGACGTGGTATATAGTAATTGCTCAGTAAATGTTAAAAGAAATATTTGAGTGAGAAACTTGTGTTTAGATCATGACCTAAAATAAATTTAGGAAATCAGAGTGGAAGTAGGGAATCACTAATATTCCTCTGTTCTAAAAATGAAGATACAACATCTAAATTCCTTGTTTGGGTATAATTGGCAGAATAGAAGACTAAAGATATTTTTTCAAAGGTAGAATAAAACCTTAGGAAATGGTTGCCAGAATTAAGGGGGAAAAGAAAAATCAAAGGATTGCACATGGGAAAATTGGATGTGTTTTACTTACTTTGACTGAGAAATAAAATAGTCTGATTTTATTTCCTCTGACTACTTGGAATCTTATTTAATCCAGGGGTTTAATTGCAAAACTGTTGTTAGGTGCTTTCTAGTCTCCAGATTCATGGCAGTCTTATGTACAAGAGATTGAAATCCTGTACCTTTCTTCCAATCTCTCTTGTGCTGGAACACATTGTTCTTGTCATTGTGTCAGTTAGTGTCATTGAGGGTCTACCTTTCTCTCGTTGACCCTCCACTTCTCCAAGCATGCTTTTTTCTAAGAACTGGCTCCTCCTGGTAGAATGCTGAAATTATGTGAGACAGCATTTCCACTAAGGGACATTCTGACTTCACTTCTTCCCCAAGACACATTTGTGTGTTCTTTAAGCAGCCTGTAGTATATTGTTAACTGACACCACAATTCAGAGGCATCATTTCTTGTTTGTGTTTCCTTTTTCGTTGTCCAGCTGTCACATACTTATGCAGCGATTGAAAATACCATTACTTGGGTTTGGTGCACCTTAGTCTTTAAAGTGAAGCCCTTCCTCTTTTAGCACTTTGAACGAGTTTTTGACAGCAGCTTTACCCAATACATCTTTTGATTTCTGCTACTTCCATGGGACCAAAACATAAATTTGGATGTCATAAATAATCCTACTGAATAGGCTGCTTTCAGTAGGAGATACATAGGGAGCTCTGGTGCCTCAGTGGTATATAGTTGCACTGCCACTCTGATTCAGTCACCAGCTGCTCCATGAGAGAAGGACGGCAATCTCTTCCCATGAGTTTAAACTGCCGTTGTGAGCCGGTTCAGACTCAACAATACATAAGTTTAGAAAGGAGCTCTGGTGGTATTGAGTAGAGAGATGTGCCACTAACCCAAAAGTTGTGCCCTCTTTGGCAGTTCAAATCCACCAGTGCCTTAACGCAAGAAAGATAGGCAGTGTCCTCCCATGTTCTTCTCAAGCAACTAAAAGACTACGTAGGTCAGCCGTATTGTTGTTGTTTACCATCAAGTCAGAACCATCCTATAGGTGACCCTCCAGCAAGTTTTCTGAGGCAGTAAATCACACAAAGGAAGTTGCCCATCTTTCTTCCACAGAGCAGCTAGCTGGTGGATTAAAACCATGTGTTGCCAGAGTTGTTCCTTACCACTAAGCCACTAGGAGAGAGCACTGGTGGCCTAGAGGTAAAAAGCTGCACTGCAATCCAAAAGAAGTGTAGTTTGAATCAACCAGCTGCTCTGCAGAAGGATGGGCAGCCTCCTCCCATGCTATTAATTGCTTCTGAAAACGCAGTGGAGGGTCAGCTATGGGTTGGTGCTAACTCTGTAGTACACAATAACAGCAACAAAGCCACCAGAGTAACTTTTTAAAAAAATGTTATTATTTTGTGTGTGTGTGTACCATCAAATTGGATCCGACTGGTACAGGAGGAGATGGTCCCTCCTTCTCCGGCAGAGCATCTGGTGGATTCGAACCGCATATCTCTGGGATTGCAGTGCAGTTTCTTGCCACTAGGCCACCAGAGCTCCCCCAGAGTAACTTCTGATTCCAGGACAGTGATTCTGATACTTTTTTTAATTTAAAATTTATTTATATAGAAATTGTGTAGATTAACATTGAACTTTGACAAAAACACAATATCTTTAGGGGATTTAGACTAAGAAAGAGAACAGAAATGACCTTAATTTCCTAGAATGCTCCGTTTTGTATTTCTTACATACTAAAAATAATTTCAGTTTTCTAAGTTAAGACTTTGTGAAATTTGTTATAAATCTCTGCTACCAGGAGGCAGTCATAAGAACAAACAAGAAAAACACTACATGGTTCAAAATCAAGAAATCTGTACGCTGGGGATGCCTCCTTTCTCTATACCTTTTCAGTCTGTATGCCAGGAGGCTGGGAAATGTGAGGAGGAATGTGGCCTCAGGTTTGGAGGAAGACTCATCAACAACCTGTATTATATAGATGACATAACCTTGCTTTTTGAAACAGAGGAGGACCTGAGGCCTTTGCTGCTGAAGTTCAAGGACTGCAGCCTTCAATATCGATTGAAACTCAACATCAGGACAAAGATTCTCACCAGTAGGCCGATTGGCAGCACCATGTTAGATGGTGAAGAGATACCTGATCCAGTCCATGGCCTTCTGAATTACTTGCTATGCATCAGAAAGCTGGACAATGACTAAGTGATAGATGGAGAATTGATGGTAGAATCAATTCTAATTGATTCGAATGATAGAAGGAGAATTGATGTCTTTGAGTCATGGTGCTAGAGAAGAATATTGAATATACCATGGACTGCTAGGAGAACAAACAGATTCATTCTGGAGAGGTTGAAACCTGGTTGCTCCTTGGATGAGATAGATTGACACAATGATTGGGGTAATGGGGGTAGGTGTGTCAGACGATGAGGCTGACTTAAGATAGAGCAGGGTTCTGAGCTGTACATAGGCACATAACTATAACATAGAGTGGATGATACTGTTATGTTTCTATATGCTAATGAAATGCTCTTTTGGTTTTTCTGTTATTTTTTTCCCTAGGTATTTAAGAGATTATGGCATCTGAAACCCACAATGTTAAAAAACGGAACTTTTATAATAATATTGAGGATCATTCCCTTGATCTTCCTAGAAGAAGGAACTCTCATTTTACTGATAAGAACATGAAGGAGGTAAGTTTGTTTCTAGGCAATCAATAGTTATGACATATTAAATTTTCAGGGCTATGGATAATTTTTATTAAATTATTTAAACAAAGGAAAGAAAAGAATCCTACTATAAGAATTAAGTAGTTCAGCTCCATGTTTTAATCACATGCCATCGGTCTTTCCCAACGTCTTCCTGGAATTGTAATTGGATTAAAAAAAAATTTTTTTTTAATTATTTTTTGTGCATGTACTGTCAAACTGGATCTGACTGGCATAGGAGGAGATTGTTCCGCCTTCTCCAGCAGATCATCTGGTGGATTCGAACTGCACACCTCTGGGATTGCAGTGCAGCTTCTTGCCACCAGTGCTCCTGGTGTAATTGGACTTTTTTATTATTATTTTATGTGTGTTTGTGTGT